CACCATGAGACTCGGAATCACCAGCGCCGCCGTAGTGCTAATCCTCAAAGCCCGAAGCAGAAGAGCCTTGCTTACACATGCCTTGTTATGGTTTAGGGCTGAAGGAAGAAGCTAGATTCCTCTCCGGCGCAACCGCCAAGCGGACGAAGTATACAAAGCAGCTAGGAAGCTGAATCAGCGATCCATCGCCATTACCTGCATGTGCGGGTTCTCTTCTAAAGCGGAGGTCCGTTTCTAGGGTATCTAGTCTCCCACGAAGTGCGCGTACCTGGCTGTAGCTGGGTGAACATCCCTAGCATGTCCCTAAACCTTAAACCCTAAAACCCTAAAACCCTAAACCCTAAAACCCTAAACCCTAAACCCTAAAACCCTAAAGCCCTAAAACCCTAAAGCCCTCTCTCTCTCTGTGTCCCAGGCACCCTAAAACCCTATAGACCCTAAAACCCTAAACCCTAAACCTTTATCTAATCCCGGAAGAACCCCCGAGGCTTCAACCCCCCCCCCCCCAGGCCCTGGGCTTTCAAACCCCAAGCCCCCTGGGCTTTAGGGTTTTAGGGTTTTAGGGCTTTAGGATTTTAGGGATGAGGGTTTTGGGGTTTGGGGTTTTAGGGCTTAGGGCTTTAGGGTTTGAGGGTTTAGGGCTGAGGGCTGGAGGTTTGGGAATTTAAGTTACTGATCGTCGGCCTCGTCAAGTGCTGGACCTTCGTCGGCTACAGCCCTAAACCCTAAACCCTAAACCTCGGAGCCTGCCGAAAGGCGCAGTTCCTCTAAGCTTTCGGGCGAAACAAGGCTGCATGTCTACTGGCAAGGGTTCAAAAGTGGAAGCTCTTTTTTTTTGTCTTCCGAGATTTACGCAGTTTGCTGGTAAATTTTATGATTTTGGCTCGACTAGCACGGTCTCGGGGTGTGGGGTTCCCTTGAGGGCTTCGAAATTCCTGAAAGGGATCGCCCTGCATCCCTAGCCCTGGGCTCGGGCTCCCGGGCTATGGGTTGCCTTAGTAGTTCGAGTAGGGTTTAGGGTTTAGGGTTTAGGGTTTTCCAGCAGCATAAACAAAATTCTTAAACAAAACCGACTGTAAGTTCTGAAAAAAGCTCAGCCATCTCTGCTGCTTGGCAACAGACTCTGGATGCCAAACTGGTGTCGGCAAGGTCCTCGTGGGTTTTTCAAAACTAGCGCTACTTTGAGAGTTTCAGCTTTTGCTATCGGACAACAGTTACGACCTGAGGTTTCTGGGTGTAGGGTCGAAAGGGGGTTGGAGGTATTGGACGCCGAGGAGTTCAGGCAAAATCCAGATCCTTCCTACTAGCATGACAAAGCCCAGCCAGGGGGTCATTGTTCGCAGGTCTTGGGTTTAGGGTTTTGACACTCTTGGTGCACTTCGACTTCTCGACTTGTGCATGTCATCCTTGCGCAGGAGCCGTGCTAACCGGACAAGGGATACATAGCCAAAAGCATCTCAGTCTGGCTTTGAGTCAGCAACTGAAGTGTCACACCCGAAAGCGCCACCCCAAATCACATCCATGATTTCTGAAACCTGGAGCAACTCTTCACGGTGCACTTGCATTCTGCCGCTGCTCCTTGTATTTTGAGTCATGGGCAATGTTGGCACGCCAGGTCCTTCAACAACCGCTGTCGAAAAGCTGATGCTTAAGGAAAGAGCTCAAGTCAGCAGGGATAAAGCTTTAGCACAGTCGGGCATCGTGCAAAACGCGCTCAGGCAGAGTAGTTCGTGGCTCCGCTAAGGCTAAGGTCTAAGGTCATCTGCATCGGAATCATGGTAGCTCGGTGAAGCTCACGCCTTGACTGGACCATGAAGCCCGAGCTCCAATCGAAACCATCTTGGTGTTTAGGGTCTATAGGGCTTGTATCGAAACGATCATGGCTCCATACATCCCTCAAACAAACCCCCCGTGATCCATACCTGATATGCTTCTTAACGTGCTCCCCGGAGTCCAACGTCCCCAAGTTCAAAATGTCCCAAACCCTGGCCTCTGATTATCCTGGAACCAAATTGAACCAACGCCCCGAAAGCCCAAATGCCCCCAAATCCCGAAACCGCCGACCTAAACCCTAGACCCTAAGCCCCAAACCCTAAACCCTATAAGCCCCAAACCCTAAACCCTAAGCCCTAAACCCAAAAACCCAAGCAGTGAAACCCTGCGCTCCTTGCGATCTGTATTTCAGACTCGAAGGGCTCACCCAGGAAGCTGGGGCTCAAAATGACCAGCACGAAGAGAGACTGCATAAAGGCACCTGGCGGTGTAGAATGTCAGAATACCGCGCTTGTAGGGCTCAGGATTTTAGGAGTTTTTCTGGGGGTTCGGTTCCTGGACCCTGAACCCAAAACCCCAACCCCAAAAGCATGGAGAACAGCAGCCGGGTGTTGAGGCCACCTGTTTGGTGGTTCGGGCTAAAGGGGTTTTTGGCAGTTGTTTCCAAAGCTCGGTTCAGCTCTAAACTCGAAGGGCTTTAGGGTTTTAGGGTTTAGGGCTGCAATCTGAGGTTCGGCGTTGTGGAGGGCGCTTTGGGGCAGCCTGTGTGTTTGCAAATCGCTAGACTTTGGGCCCAAAGTCAAAACTTACGCCAAACCACTAAATTCCGAAACCACGCCACCTCCGTCACGCCTGGAACCACACTGGACTTAGGCCTTAGACTAAGCCTTAGACCCCGACGTCTAAACCACTAAATTCCGAAACCTCAAAACTCCGTCACGCCCTGACCCCCTTGAGCCAGCACGGACCTCGAAGCCTACACCGCCAAAACCCCGAACAAGTCCAGGACATGTCCGCAACAGTCCGAAACCATCACTCACTGAGTCGACCGTCTTTGCCATTGTCGGGCCGTTGTAGAAAGCAAGCTCTCGTGATTGCCACGCGACTGGCCGATAAGTCGCACTGCAAGCGCTGACAGCCGAGAGGCTCATGCAAGCGAGGATCAACGTCAGTAGGATGTCCAGCCAGCCTGGGTGAGGATCGGGTTGCGTCGTAAACAAAAGGAATTAGTGCGGGTTACGGGTTCTAGGCTTTGTTTGACATCTTCTGCCCTTTGAATCCGAAGCCCTAAGCCAAAGCAAAAGCCACCCGTAACTTCTTGAGCCTGGCGGAAGCTCAGGACCTAGCTAACCTGTTACATTCAAGCACGCGGGACGCAGCAACAATAGCCTTCAACAGCTGAGGCTTCGCCACAGCCACGGCTAATATAGGGGCCTTAATAATTAGAATAGGGTTTTGGGGCCCATTATACTATAAGTATAATATGCAACCCCAAAAATAGTATTGGTAATTATTTAGGCCCCTACATTAGACAGCTTCTCCCCCAAACCGGAAACGTCAGGGATGGAGGGCCATGGGACTCGAAGCCTGCATGGGGGCCATGCTTTCAGGCACGTCTCTGAGAGAATTGGCCCAGTAGGTCATGCGAAGCTTGCCAGACAGAATTCTGCACTCATGGCTCAATTACGGATCCTCCCTCCCCAGATTCCTGGATCCGTTCTTGCTTGAAACATGCTGATGAAAACGCTGCTACGTGGCCAGCATCAGTGAAGCCCAGGACTAAGGCCACGTTCCACACCTGGAAGTGCAAATTGCTGATACAACCATCTCTGCACCGGTCCCTGGTGTGGGCTGTTTCTCTACGCCGTACTCCATGTGCTCTATGTGCGCATGTATACATACGTACATGCATTGTTTCTTCGGGGCTCCGTTGGGCGTGCACAGCCGCTATCCCGCTATGCCTGTCGCACCACCGAGTTCGCTCTCCAAAGGACGCACGTGCATACATACGTTCTTCATTCATACACGTGCACACCTCTCTCTGTCTCTCCCTCTGGGTGTATACACACATCTCCGTCTCTGTGTGTCTCTGTGTGTGTGTGCGCATGTGTGTACATCTACTCATTCATGCCATTCTCCATCTTTCTGCCATGGACCAGGATTCTACCGATTCCTGCAGGGCATTACAGTTGGAGTCTGCGAGTCGTCGGTAGTGGCTATTCTGTACTGTGACATGGGGGATCGATGTGCAGGAATCCTCCTCAGACCAAGCGGTGTCAAGGCTCACGGGCCTTGGGTTGGACAGTTTCAGGGCTTTTGTTTGTAGGACGACGTGTCATGTTTCAATGCCCTGCCAAACCGCCCACAAGAGGGATAGAGAGAGAGAGAGAGGAAAACAAAAACTGTACTTAAGGTGCAGTTCGCCTACTTCGTCGCCGACCCTCCCACTCCCCAGCATTTGGGGGCCCGAAAGCCTCCTTTCCTTGAAGCCCGGAGGGACGAAACCAAACACCCTCAGGCAAGGCTCAGTTTCAGCGAAAGGTATCGGCTCTTCGTCCTCTTCCTGCTCCTCCTTGGGTCTGAGTCTGGTTAGGCAAAGCCAGAGGAGGATCTAACGCGACTTTCTTACATTCGGGGCCGATTTTCATCGAAAGTCAGCAATCAGGGGCACCCATAGAATCCAGGGATGAATGTGTAGCGCATCTAAAGGTCTTTGGGGCCGTAGTAGAACTGGAGCTCATGTTTCCCTGGGTAGACGTTGGGGTGTCCACAGTAACCGATGGAGCTCATGGTTTCACACGAAGCTCCTCTCAGGGCTCCTCCTGTCTCTGCTACATATCCCAGGTCGTGTCTCAGCCTTTTAGGGCTTAGAGTTAGGACTTTTTGGGGTGTATAGGGTTAAGGGTTTAGGGGGTGTAGGGTTTGGGTTTATGCATGTGATGTGTGCCATAGCGGGCAGCCTATGGGCACCAGCTCGCAAGCACATATCTGGCGGTTCAAGAATCACACGAAGCACGGAGCATGTCTCTTTTGCAGCTGCCCATGCTTCACTGTAAAGCTCCCAGCACAGGGCAGTTGAAACACTGCATTTGATGGTACAACAATGGACAGGCACCCTGCTGCTCTGACGGCCATGCTGGCAGGAAAAGAGCGGTCACCAGCGTCTGGACGCGTTGATTTCAGCATGCGGCGCTGTCGAGTGGCTCATTATGCACAGCTCCTGCTGTTTAGGAGTACTCGGACATTTGGACCTTGTCAGCCTTCGCGACATAATCCTCCACCTGGTCGAAGTTCAAGTACTTGTAGATGGAGTCCTCGTTCTTGGCGAGCTCCCCGTGATACTTCCTTGGTCACCCTATATCTCTTGAATAGAGGGGGTATGGCGTTTCCTGCTAGTCCGTTTTGACAAGGACGCCCCAAGGCAAAAGTGCTCAAGGGCACCACTGTGGACCTTTGGAAAACCCTTTAAACTTTAAACCCCTTGTAGTATCCCATATAGCCCTATAGAACCGTTATTGAAAGCCTGGTTCAAATCGTATAGATACCTTCATAGAATCCCACTTATGGCATCCCTTGCACATGCAATAAATGCCTAAAGCCCCAAGGCTAAGGCTAAACCGTACCTAGCTTCAGGTACTCCTCGTTGGTTGGCAACCGCCCGAGGATGGCGGCTACTGCTGCGAGCTCTGCCGATGCCAAGTAGACGTTGGCACCCTTTCCCAGACCTGGGTTTCAGCTTGGGTTTCGACGCTCACACTCGGACAATTCATGCGAGGCATGTGGTCTTACGTCGGCTGATGACGTCTTGGGTTTAGGGTTAGGGCTGGGCCGGTTTTATGAATAGTTCTGGAACAAGACCGTTAGGAAAGTCAAAAAGATACCAAACTTCCACCTGAAGACGGTTGGGGAAGTTACGTGTGGAAGTCGAGACAACCGTGGCGTTGTCGGCCACTCGTGCCTGCTTGCCCATGCAACGATCCTAAACCCCAAAACCTCCACCCTTGTTTTGCGCAGGGACTGCAATGCACTAAGAATCTCCACCCTAAAGCCTGAAACCCCGAAACCCCTAAACCCGAAACCCTGAACCTCTGAACCCCAGTCTCCCTCAGACCTAAACCCCTAAACCCTAAACCCCCTAAAGCCCTAAACCCTAAAACCCTAAACCCTATAGTACCCTTTTTTGGAAGCCTAGGATCCCTATAGATCCCTTTAAAGGAACCCTAAACCCCAAAAGGCTCGCGAAGGCCTGGTTTCCCATGCAGAGGGAGCATCCTGGCATCTCGGTACGGGCTCCCACCTTGCCGTAGATGGAGTAGTAGCCCTCCTTGGTGAGCTGCTCCTTCAGGGCTTTTAGGGCTTTAGGGCTTTATTTAGGGCTTAACGGGTTTAGGGTTTTAGGGTTTAGGGTTTTAGCGCTTAAGGGTTTTAGGTGCTTTGGGGTTTAGGGTTAAGGGTTTTTTTCCCTCTCGCATAGCTAAGGATCAAAGCCCACAAGCGAGGTCGGATGGGGAAGATACTTCGACAAGCCCACAATGTTGAAAAGCCCCCAGTTCTGACTACCCCTCAAAAAGCCTGCAGGGAACCAAGGGGTTAAGGGTTTAGGGTTTAGGGCCAGTTTAGGGTTTAGGGTATGCTACGGCCTATAAGGCTAGGGTGGAATCTGGCCCCTTTTCTGCCGGATGATGCTCATGGTTACTAAATGGTCAGTATCAAACTATATTCACTAGGTAAGATGGGTATACGACACAGCATCCGAATAGCGAGCAGAAGGCTCCTCATCCATTTTGGTGGGGGGCGCAATCCACAAGCGAGTGGACAACTGGCCGTCGAACTGGCTCAGCATCTTCCCGGCAGCGCGGTAGTGGCCGATGTTCGTCATGCAAGAGCCAATGAACACCTGAGATCCATTAAGTAACTCCCTTAAGTAACCCTATATCCTAACCCCTAAACCCTTAAGTAACGCGGGGCGAGAGAGTCCAACGAACGAGGAAGGGAACAGGGGGGCTGCTAAAGGAGACCGGGGCACCTCATCAATGCCGGCGGTTCCAATCTCAGTGAGAGTCTTGGCATCATCGGGATCGTTGGGGCAACAGAGAACCGGCTCCTTCAGCTCGTCCAGGTTGATGTTGATCACCTGAGTGGTGCTTAAGGAAGAGAGGAGGAAAGAAGACAAGGACTACTATAAGTGAATATATAGGGCTTGTATGGATCGACTCTCCCACTCCCCCGTAAGTGCGCGTAAGTCGCTGCAGCATACTCGGCCTCTTTGTCTGCCTCAAGGAGAGAGGGGCTCTCGAGCCACTTCTCCATCTTGCTGACACGGCGGGCCAGTGTTCGGGGGTCGCTGTAGCCCTCGGAGATCATCCACTTGAGCAGCGTGATGTTGGAAGTCAGGTACTCTTTGACGGAGTCCTCGACTGCATTTCACTTTGAAGGAGATGTAAACAAGTATCCCTATAGCAAAGTTATGCTTCATGAGGTCCTAAAGCAAAATTATGCTTCATGAGGTCCTACATTCTATATTCGGCCGTTTAGTTCCCTCTCTTTTCCCATTGAAACCCTAAACCCTAAACCCCTAAACCCTAAACCCTAAATGAAGGCAACACAGAGGAGCCCCCCGGGGTCCTCGTTCAGTTTGATGGTGCAGCCCGCCGCTGAACGTTCCGCCGAGGCATCCGACAGCTCGAAGGCCTGCTCCCAAGGCCCTTTTAGGGGTTTAGGGTTTAGGGTTTAGGGGTTAGGGTTTAGGGGTTTAGGGGTTTAGGGGCTCAGGGGCTGATAGGATTTAGGGTTTAGGGTTTAGGGGTTTAGGAGTTAGGGTTTCGGACTGACTGGTTCTTAGTAGGGAATGGAGGAATGGGATTTTGGGACTACTATAAGGGATTTTAAGGGACTATCATAGGGATCCATTCCCCCATCCCCTACTAAGAACCAGGGAGTTGCACCCTGAACCTTGAACACCCAAAGGCCTAAACCCCTAAAGCCCTGCAGCCTAACCCATAACCCATAAAACCCCCCCAAACCCGAAAAATCCAAAACCCCTGTTAAAACCCCCTCCTAAATTCCCCGAAGGCCTGCTCGCACTTCAGGTCCGGCAAGCCCTCGATCTCCAAGATGCGGCCGTTGAAGATGTTCTTCTTCCCCTTCGGACGCAGCCCCCCCAAAAGGATAGAATCTATAGGGTCCACAGGGTTCAGGGGTCCCAAGCAGCTAGGGTCTATAGGGTTCAGGTTTTAGGGGTCTGCCCCTGCCTTCCCCTTGTGAGGAAGCCACCCAAAAAGATAGGGTCTATAGGGTTCAGGGTCTAGGG